ATATCTCGTATCAATGTCTCGTACAGTGTCAGGGGTGATATGATACGTCGTGCGCTAAGGTCGTGAGACGGGTCGAGTCACGTCTTTGGAACACAAACAAACAACTGGGTAGTTGGGCACAAACAGAAAATCTGGTGGCGAGAAAAAGACTGCGAGCAACTCGTCTAGAAGCCCAAGGTGGTCGTATGGCAAAATGTGAGATCCCCTATTTCATGTACAGTACCTTGTTCTGCACCAAGGTTCGGTTTAGGGGTAATAGAGGGAGAGTAGGTGAGCGTACAAGTGTTTGTAGACGGTGCTGTTTGTGTGGGGGAGGTGTCTGTGTCACTTTCTAGTCGCTCGATCAGTGTCCAAGTCCCACTCTGATATGTCTCTGTCCAAGGCCTGTCACTGTTTGACCCATGGAAAAAAGGCGACACACGAGCTATATTATATTAGCCGGTGATGGGTCGGAAGTTAAGTTGACAGATTGGATGGTGCAACTCTATTTGCCATCTGGCGACTCCCTGGATATTTCTGCGGGCGGAAATTGGCCGCCACCGTTCGTCTCGTCTGCGTGCGCTCGTTGCATCGGCTTTCTCCGTTTTCCGCTCCCGTGTCTGTGCGTTGTTCTGGCGTCCAGATCTTGGCTCTCTCTTCGCAAGCAAAAAAAAAAAAAAAAAAAAAAAAAAAAGTAGGCCCCAATCCACACTGGTGAAGTTGAATGAGACAATAGGGGGTAATTTCAAAAGTGACATGTGGAGAGAGTGTGTGATGGAAAGCCGTGGAATGTTTACAAAGACCAGTCCTCTGGTCCGGGCCTCATCCCACACAAAGGTGCTGCTACAAGCCTTCTTACACTCTTGTTGTGGGTCTTAGATATGTGGATTCAGCGTCTTTTTTTTTTCTTTCTTCCTCCCTCTCTCTCTCTCTTGCTTGTTGCTGTGTGTGGGAAATTATACAGCACCGCGGCTCTATGATTAGCCCTGCCGCTCAAATGTACCTGGTGCAGTGTCGTACAGCAGGAGAGTAGGACATGCAGGAGATGGCGCGCTGAGGAGTACAACTGGACACTGGTTATCAGGGCACCGTACGTGGACCTACAGAATCTGGCTATCGTGATACAGTGCGTGTATTGTTATTGGTGTGTTATGTTAGAGGCCCACTTTTATCTCCAACACAGTTTTGCACTAAAAAAAAAAGTTTGGCCAAAGATGCGAAAAAGAGATTCACATGGACAGGCGTGATACAGGCGTGAGCCAAGGGACAATTGAGGGCACCGGTGGGATATTATGGGGACTATTATGGGGAACAAAAATGTCGGATATCGTCGGAGGTGTGTATGGTTGTATGTAGAACGGGATACAGTGAAGCTGGAGAAGTTCTGAGTTCACCGGTGGAATCTCCAGATCGAGACGCATCTATTGGTGGCTTTTTGAGCGTTCTAGGATGCCTGGTTGTTGTTATGTCAGCGTCTACCGTAACCCTTACTTGTCTCTGATTTGTGAAATATTATGCACTGAACAAAAACAAACCCTACAGTTGGAGATACTGCGATCTGTCAGAAAGCCATATCTCGTCTGTCACACGAATAGTGGGCTCGGCAATTGCGGCTAGCCGGGGAAAACAGATAATTTCCCCCTATTGAGTCTGCACAGAAGTAATAACCATTTCTCAGCGGTAATTAGAAGAAATAATGGTCAATTGGGATAAGGTGGCGGTTAATATGAGATACAGCTAAGGATCTGAGAGCATCGAGTAGCGTCTACACTACAACTAGATTTGTCGTATGATATCGTATCCACTCCTCCCCACAGCCATATTATCTCGTGTGGACAATTGTGTAACTCAAGCCGAAAAACAGAAAAACAAAAGTTGCTTGTTGTTTCTGTAGTATTTTCACCTCTTGTTTGTAAAAGAGCTCGTATGTAATGTAATATCTTCTCTCAAACAAGGTTGGTGAGCACGGGACTAGGGACCCTGATTTTGGGGTAAATATGCGAGTAAAAGCGCTGGGATTTTGGCAGGTGGTTTGGTGGGCGTGGAATGTGTCAATTGCAGCTTTTGACAGAAATCGAGACTCAATTGCGTCTTTTGTACAGTGTAGTTGTGAGTTGACTGATCCTTCACACAGTATATCCTATAGTCTATACTCTACTCTACTCTACTCTGTCCACCTCGAGTCTCCACCATATCACTGCACAAAGAAAATAATATCAAATCCGCGACTCGTTGATTGGACTGCTCGATAGCCTGTGATACCGCTATCTGTACACAAAGAGCGCTTCTCGTGTTTGAGATGCGATATTGATGTGGCTGGAAGTGGGGAAGTCACCGATGCTCAGAAGGTCACCTCAGTAGACTTATGCAGCAATTTTATGTCACCTGTGTCACAAACCTTTTGATTGTGTTGTGTTTCTGTTTGTGTCTCTGTTGTGATTGTTTCTGTCTGTCTGTGTCACTCTGTGTCACTCGATCCGTCATACTCTCCTTCTATAAGTAGACTCCCCCTCCCTCTTCCCTTCTACCGAGCTTATGTTCCAGGAGAAATTAAGGGGCAAGTGGGCGAGCCGTGTGCAAACGGGAAATATTATGACACGGCATGCACTACACTTATTGGACACGTTTCGGGAATGAGATCCGTACAAGGGGTGGAGGTGGAGGTAAGGGTGGTGGAGAGTCCTGGTGTTTTTGTGTCTTAAAAGTATACCAACAGAACTCCAAAGTCATCTTCAGCAATTTCTACATTCTGAACTTCACCCTTGATCATATACGTATGTCTGTCAACTGTGACAGTGACATTCTACAGTTGACAATGACATTCTACAATGGTAGAACATTGATACAGTTGGTATTGTGTATCACCAGGTAAACAACTACGATACCCATCGTAGTAAACCAGTTGCAGATACTGCTTTGTAACTCGCTCAACAGAAGCTTGGCGTTGTTCTGTTTTCTCAACAAGGAGGCGTACTATCGGCAGAGTTGATACTGGTGAGGCACACTGGGGTATAGGCAGTTTCTGATTTTGTAAGTCTTTATGTTTGGTCTTAGAGTCAAAGAAATTCTCTGGTTCTGGTATTGTCCAAGACAGTGAGTTGAGGCATGTCAGGTGGCTTCTAGAAGACAGTTACTTTTGATAATACTCAGCTCAAAATTCAGAATATGGTAGTCAGTTGGATAGCTCAAATTATGGATAGTCAGTTGAATAGTACATCGGTTGGACTGGTCCATTGAGTACTGTATAATCTACTGGTCTAGTTACCTCAGTTATACAGCTGATGGCTCACTTTACTTAGGATTATATCCACCCATTGTCTTCACTTTCTGGTTCAACAGAGACTTAACCTCAGACAACCGTATCATGACCATATTAGAAAGACCGGTTAAATCAAGTACGATTGGTTCATGTCGGACTATCAACTCACTACCCGAACACTTGCTATTTGTTAGTAACAGCTCATTGACTTAAAATCAGTTGCAGCTTGACGTGTGATTTAATAATTGTCAGATAATTGTCAGATAATCAGCGAAAACATTTATTATCGGCTAGTGTGGAGAAGAAATATCAATCCCTGCGTTTATCATGAAACGAATATATAGAATACGACTGGTAATCTATGCTTAATAGCCTACAAGACGTCTTCTTCCTGGAAATACAGACTCAAGTAGCTGAAGCAGATCACACAGGTTGACATGCTGTAGAAGGAGAAGATCTGACGGGAAAGTAGATATAATTGAATAAAAAATGTTAACAGTTGTGTCTATGGTTCAACAGACGCTAGAACTACCTAGCCCTTGTATCAGTTCAGGAATCGACCCATCATTACCATTAACTCGAGTATCTCAGACGATCTTAGATGACGATGACCAGTAGCTTTCTTGACTATTGATTTGTGATTTTAATGGAATAAAAACTGGAAAAAAGAGATTAAAAATAGTCAAAAGAAGCGCTCTACAGCATCCCAGATCTAGTTGATCGTTGTGAACTCCTTCGTGGAAAACTCAATTGTAAAATCGGCTGTATATTGCTCCAATCCACACCCAAGGATATTCGGATGATTTTCGAAAAAGACCAAAATTGGCAGAAAAGACCCATGGAGTTCTCAAAAACTCTCAGTGGGATCTAGAATGCCTATTAGGCTTACTCTCTCCTCATTTCCGGTAAAATAGCCGACTTTTGTCTCCAACTTCTTGTCACTGTGAATGATCCAAGAGTCACTTCTTTGAGATACACCTTAATAACGCGAGTAAAAAGCTCACGGAGGTTTGCAGATTTCAATGAGCCATCTCACTCGTATTCTTGCCGCATCCACCGGTATACAAGGGTTCTCACATTGTAGTATATGTGAAAAGGGCACTATGTCTATAGGCAAGGAGGCTACGCCTTATTGCTACTGCTTCTGATCAACAAACAGCCATAAACAAGGCACTCACCAGTTAGAATCAGTTCTTTCTTCCACAGTTTAAACCAAAAACCAACTCGAAATACACCCACTGTTCCAAGTCCACTTCACATTACTGACCACAAGTTCACGGAAAATACCGCTATAGTCACACAGACTTGACCAAAGTATTTCTCAAATCGAGGAGAATTCAATGATACCATACATTTCCTGTTTACTACCTCTTTCAGGCTTTTGGAACAGACACCCCAGTTCTACTTAGTTACACAACTGCACTCAAAATCTCCAAAAATACTGCAATGGCAATGAAGACTTCACCAACGTATTTTTCACGTTCAGGGATTTCTTTTGGTACCATTCAAGTTGTTTCTAGAACCTCTTACCACTTTTACACCTCTTACCACTATTACAGACACTCTCAATTCTACTTGATACAACCTCCATATATACCTATTTAACAACAACGAGTTGATCATTGAGTCCTATGAACTAGTTTGAATCAGAATACACTAGTTAAAACCTACTTACCACTTTTTCTCGACTCTCCTAACAGTATCAAAAAATTTCACCTCTCTATGCTGACTAAGCACGGGTAATACCACACAAAAAAGTAAACTCCGATACGGGGAATCGAACCCCGGTCTCCACGGTTCTCAGAATGAGAGCGTGATGTGATAGCCCCTACACTATATCGGACAGTGGATTTTTTCGACTTTTCTGGCTATATGAAGAGCTAGTGGAAAAAGTACAGCCCGCCGAAAAATACTGATCTAGCCACCTTAGAGCTTAGCCAGTGATACCATTGTAATTGTCGGGTAATTATCTACCTAATGGTATAAAATTTATCCATTTCTATTGACTCCTTCAGTTTCTAGATATACCTCTTTACCTACCATAGTGTTCTCACCAACTTTGTCAATATTAGTCTAAACCACTTTCTGACTTGATCAGATTATTCTCTAGGTCTCTCTCATCTTCCACGTGCCTTCGAATCCCGGCTGAAGTATTTTTCACTCTTAAATGACTTAAAAACACTTTTTTCTGCCCTCCAATCACGGTTCAAGCAATTATTCAGCTACCAAAAAGTTGTGTTGATCTTTTAGCTGCTTGGACGTGCATATTGTAACCCAACCGATCCAGCATTGCATTACTCAAAATAACAACAATGGCAGTGTAGCTAAAAGTCGATTTTTGAGCAGTTGACTGTAAGTCATATCTGGAGTATAAAAGTTGTAATAATGATGTAAGAGAGTGGAGAAGTTGAAAATATGACTGAGACGACTGTTTCTACTGTATTAAATACCTCTACCTCCCCCAAATACCTCAATTACCGCTTTTACACCAGATGTGCAGTTTTTCTAGTGCTTGTGCCGTGCCTCAAAAACGCTCTAAAAATGCCTACTGAAAACCACAAACGTCCACTTGCTGGATGGAGGCGTCTGGAAACGTGTTGAGCTAGTTATGTGCACATTTCCTGTGTGTTGAGAGCCGTACAGAGGTACGTTCTTCTCTGCAGAGATGGGCAGATACAGCATAGCTCACAACTCTCTCAATAATGATTGTAGAACTGATTGGACTTCACAATTAGTCTTGTGACACTCTTGGCATTCTAACGATATCGGACATCTCCGATCTTGCTCAGAGACAGATCTTTTTTGCGTTTTTTTCACCTCAGAATTCTGACACTAACAGAAGCGCACTCTAGCGTCAGTTTAGACCCGAACCAAACTGCTTCCGTACCAGCTAGGATTGTCTCCTTCGTTCCTCGCTTCAGACCCTCTTTAGCACTTGTTCGGCTTCTGTAGCGTGCTGCTAACGGCCCACCCTATCAGAGACGATAATGCTGCACATGTACCGGTTCCAGCTTGGCATGCAGAATGGGGGGATGAGATTTGGGGGTTCTTTTGGGTCACGTGAGGTCTAGCGAGGGTTTTGGATCTCTTTGCAGTCTTTTTGGACTACTTTTGATTGTTTTAAACTGGATAAAGTGGATATTTCAAACATGGAAAAAACCAGATTTTCAAAATCTCTTCAAAAATCGCCTGATTTGGCCCATTTGGCACTTGTTTTTGAGCTCCCACCAGAAATGCGGTAGCTCATACGGCTGGATTGATATTGGCCGTGCTAGGTTGTTGTTCCAGGCCAAAAAACGGGTCTAAAAAACGGCACTACTGAAGCTTGAAAAATGTTAACGTCAGAAATCAAGGGTCAAGAAACGAGTCTTGAGGTAGCCAAGTTGACAGTCGGACTCCGAGACGGATGAAGCTGCTGTTTTTGAAGTTGTCGTTTTTTTCCGCAGATTTTTCGACCGTTTTTTCTGGCATACACCATGTCTATCAACGTCAGTCTGTCAACTGTCAAAATGACGTTTTTGAGTAAGATAAAAACCCAGAGACAACTCAGGAGACAGCCAAGCTAGTAGTAGCGTCAACATGGGCTTTCCCGAAGGTTTTGGTGGCCTAGACGAACACTTTAGACCCTCCAGCTGCGGAAGAGAAGCAGGGAGGAAGAGGTTCTTGGAGGGGTCAATTCGAGAGATAGAGAGGTGGGGAGTTGATTAGATGGTAGAGCGGGGAGGAGAGATGGTAGGGTATTGATTTTGGCCTCCTGAAGACGTTCTATGGCTCGTGATCTGAGTCTTTTTTTTTGCTGATTTTCCTGCATACGATTAAGAAATACTTTTGATTACACTGACGTCACTGACAGTCAATCACCGGTAATCAGATGACCGGGAGCAACCAAAAAACGTTGATGACAGTGTCAGGCAGGTGAAGCCGCCTAGGCCAAGAGGTGGAGGGACGGATAGGATGGGCAAGGAGCTACGACGTCGTAGAAGAGTGGAGGAAGTAAGGAGGAGGCGGAAGGGGGTGGTAGAAGGGATGGTGGAGGGAGTTGGTAGACGTAGAGCGGTTTTCAGAGCAGTTTGGGCTTTTTGGAGGTGTTAGGGGAAGTTTCAGTTTTTCGCATGCCTCGAATCAAACGTAATTTTCAGTCAGCAACGTCAGACAATACTAAATATATGTCATGCAGTATATCATTCGATTCCCGTTTTTCTCCCGAATCTAATGGTACCATTGTTGAATGCATTTGAGAATTACTTTTCGTTTCATCTAACTATGGTACTCCAGTGTAGTAGTGGTGATACCTGTATAAGTACGAGATAACATATTGGGAGTTAAGACAACTCAATTGAACTCTGTGGGTAGGTCACGTGGTGTCCAGAACATTAAGATATTTCTATCGCTTATATAATCACATATATCCATTCCATTCTGCTGTTATACTGTATGACTAGACACGGGATGAGTAGATGTATTAAAACACAGTCACGTGACTATTCCGACAATTCTCATAACCTCTAACCCGTACAATCACGTGACTTTTATTAAACACCTGAAGAATGTCTCTTCTCTCCATATCTTACAGCATCTCTATGACATGTATCAATATCATACAGCACAGATTATGAGTGTCAGAACATACGTAAATGACACAGGAACACGTGACCTGTCTACCCAAACACGTGACTACACTCATACATATCATTCACGTGACTTTTACTTGAAACCGCAGCAACTGCACCTAACTCACCACCAAGTCACGTGAATACACATTCACGTGACTTTCCCAACATATCGAAACTCACACGACCTATAAATCGAGTTTTCAGAAGGTGCAAGAGAGCTCAAGTGTGTGTGTGAGCAGTCGCGTGAGTGAAAACTGCGATATCATATATTTGAGACGGTTCCCGAGGTCCTAGAGCAAAACAAAGACCACCGATCGATTCGTCTAGTCTCAACGAATCCAACGGTACCATTTGATTTCCATTATTTCCACTATCCACCGTTTTCACTGCTGCCTTTTTTCCCGTTTGCCAAGAACAAGCTCAGCCCCAAACGCCCTTTTTTTTTTCTTCCAAAAACTTGGCTAGACACGTGCATCATGGAGACGAGTTCCATCAACCCGGACGTTTTTGGGTTTTTATTTTTTTCAAAGTGAGACAAATGAGATGGCGAATCCAGGGATGAGTCACGTGATCTTTTGTTGATCGCGAAGAGAATAAAAAAACCAACCTCCACCCCTGTTCGTTCTCATTATGTGTCTGCGATTTTACAGCATTTGTTGTTATTTTATGATTACTTTGTTTTGAGTATTTTCTATTATTTTGTTCCTATTTCATTTTAATATCAGCCATTTATTCAACCTCCCACCTCGTCCAAATCCGCACGTGCTCTTGGCCACAAGGGCTTGGCGGTTGGCACGGCAAAGAAAAGTCTACCTTATTTTGGAAGCTCTAAATCCCACGTGGAATGCCAAGGTTTTTTACTGAAACGAGATAACTGAAAAGTGTAAAACCATAAAGCTTACATCGCGGAGTCCAGATACGTGTCTTGGCAGACCTTTGGGGCTGGTCCAACGTTTTTTGCACCTCTATAGCTGTGAAAATATTTTCCACGCGTACACAAACGGCATTTGACCGTGAAAACGCCCAAAATCCGGCCTCGTGGACCCTCCCGCCGTCAAGCGAAATAACATCAAACTACACCTAATCGCACAACTGTGTTTGGAACTTGCATCGCAAATACGACGTTTAAATTGAGCTCAAATGGGAGGCGGAGTAAGTGGAAAAAGAAATGCAAAAAAACATGGAAAAAAGGGAAACGTGAATAATTGTCCTAAAAAAAATACACACAAATAAAGAAGAAATGCCAATAAATACGAGCGCAAAATTCCGCCCGTAACGGTGGTATTTGTGACCCTACAGCTCACCTATAGTTGGAATTGCAGGTATATGAAAATTCATTTTAGCTCGGTATATAACTTTGCGGGGACTGCAAGACAGGTAGCGCCGCATGACGAAATAATAGAGTGAGGATAGAAAAATGAATACCAACGGAAAACGAAATTGAAAAGCAGAAAAATCACCACCGAGACGAGGGGAATCGTTTGGTCCCACCTACAAAATCCCACGACCTATATTGCGTCTTTTATACCCATTCGCGTTCTGGCATAGAGTAGCCAAGAGAATACCGCTCCAGAAGGACGAAAAAACCTGCGAAATTGCAGAGCTTAGTTTCTAAAAACTGCAATTAGCTTCTTTGGGCGAGCCAAGTCGCACTTGACCGACATCTATGTACAACGGTCGACTTTGGCGTATTTTTTTGACTTTGCAGTTGCACCACGTGGGCGGGTCTTCTGCCGACGCTGGCGACACACAATGGGGCAGAAATTGGGGCTGTCAGGGGCCCGTCGATCTCAGGGATGGCTGGGGTCGTTTTATTTTCACGTCACGTGTTTTGCCAACGACTTTGTGGCGGAAAGCAGTTACACAGAAGGGACCCTATACACAACGCTACCCAACAGTTATCAATAAACCGACTTGATAGAAAGATGCTATGCGCCGGAATGTCCTCGTCTACGACTTCCCGTACCTTCATCTCTTGTTTTGAGTCCTTCAGAAAAGATTCTAAAACCTGGTTTTTTTCAAGTCGCTTGTATTGACTCAAAATCAAGTCAATTACGCTGGAAACGCACCACAAGCATCGGGAGTGCATGTAATTTCATATCCCCAAGTCCCCTGAGGTTCATCTCTTTGCTATCGTACGTTATGTTACAAAACGTGTTCTATGCTCTTCAAAGTCGTGCCAACTGCCAATAATACTGCCCAAAAGTTGCACAAGTTTGCCTGTGGCTGC